CGAAGCTGTGGGAATTAATTCAAGAGAACAAGCCTAGTCTTTGCATACAAAAGAAGTTTGTTCCACCTTTGTCTCTCCCTTGCTTGCCTAGCTGAATTCTAATCAAGACCCTCCAATCCTTTCTTATTTTCCATTTCCCTCGTACTTTTATGGTATTTATTTAAACTCTGACTATCGGTCCACCTCATCTTTAGTATTATGTAACTTTTAGGATTTGACCTAATTTATTTATTGAATTGTCTACATATACACACACATATTACTACCTTTGTTATTTTAATCGCCACCTGCATAAACCTTATTGTCAATATTTTGTTATCATTATAATCATCGTTATTAACTACGTTCAAAACATTTACCACATTACTATTATTATTATTAATATTTGATCCACAAAATCACCGTCATTAGTTAAGGTTTTCTATATATATAAATCTATGTAAATTAGAGTAAAGCCTGAAGACGATCTCACTGAAAACAACAATACTGTTTGCCAATGTATCTTGTTCTAATATTAATAATGGGATTATTTCAAAAATATTCGATCTGTTTATTAACGACAATAATAACAATTTGCTTAATTCTAACACCGTACTTATTATATACATAGTGTGGAATTTTCAGCAGATTGTACAATATTGCATCTAATTTACTGAGGAAGAACAACAACAGGAAAACTACATCACAGGGCACACTTACCAAAAACTGATAATTGTAATTTTTCATATTAGCAGAAACAGTAGGGTCAAAATGATGTACATATGTAAAGTGATAATAATATAATAATAGTAATAATGACACGAAATTATAAGATAATGGGGATAGTGAGTGTCACCATAAAATTACAAATATGAGAGAATAACTGATGCTAATTACACAGTAAGTCGTAAGCTTCACGTTTAACACCAACTTTATCGAATAAAAGGCGCGCTAAATGGGATATCACTGAGATTTTATATTTGATTGGATGGAGGAGTTTATCATGAGCTGACATCAGTTAGAGAACCACTGGAAAACCAGCTAGGAGTACTGAACAGCTGTTTTTCAACCTAGTTTGGGACTCTTCATCGGTACGCGCCCACCGGGGCTCGAACCCAGGACCTTCTGGTTAAAAGGCGAGTTCATTTTCCAGTGGTTCTCTAACTGATGTCAGCTCGTGATGAAATCCTCCATCCAATCAAACAAAATCCCTACAAAACCAATTCTTGAAAATTAATATGATGCTCACTAGCGACTGGCTCTATTCACGCAGTGACCTGGGATTCTAGTGAGAATCCGTGACCAGTAAGGTACATCAGGTTGAAGATGAGGTAGTAACTCATCGAAAAAGACACTGCGAAGTGATGGCGCTACTTAATGAATTGGCAGAAGTTAAAATTCATGGACTGGCCATAGGATCAGGTCCCAGTGGCTTAATGGTCTACGAGCTAGCTCGCCTTGTAACCAGAAGGTCTTGGGTTCGAACCGCGATGGTGCGTGCGTACCGCTGAACTAGGTTGACGAAACAGCTGTCCAGTACTCCCTTCTGGTTTATTGATATAAGTATAAAACTTGGGCACTGTGGTTTTCTGGTTTCTGGTTTTCCAGTGGTTCTCTTACTGATGTCAGCTGATGATGAAATCTTTCAATCAATTGAACAAAATCCCTACAAAACCAATACTTGAAAATGAAATTTTTTATAATGATTTCTACTCCAAATTGATGAGGTGCTATGGGAGACTTCTGAATAAAGAGGATGGTGAGTGTCAGAAAATATGGATTTAGACCATTTCTCACATGCATTTAAGTCTCTGTTGACTAAGATAGTAACGAGCTGACCAAGTGGCATACAAGTTACCTTACTAACAACCTGTAGTACCCTTCACAATATAAAATGAGTAGTCTAGGAATGTCTAAGGGGGAACAATAAAGAATAATAGGTAAGATGCAAGAGTTAACAGATTGTAAAATTTAAGGTTGCTTGATTCCTGACTGTTGTAACTTCTCAATGAAGCAGGTTAGACGGAATATTTTCTTAGAAATTGACAAGATATGGGATAACTAAGAAAGATCAAAGGATAGATGTATTCTCTGTATTGGTACCCTACAAGCATTGTGTAAACTAGTGAGCTCATTAAGATCACATTTATTCCTGAAGGCGGAATTAACTATGTGACATTTGGAGGGATTTAGCGTTAAACCATTAAGCTTAAGCCACTGACTAATGTCAGACAGAAAGCTATTCTTTTTGGAATGGTCAGCTTGGGAAGTAATAGGCAACGAGACAGTAAGGCCATCAAGCATATTTAACAAAGTCGATTTCATCCGAACAAGACGAGTCACGCGAGAAAAAAGAGAATAGAACCTCTAGAGACACCGGAGATTTACTTTTATAATCAGTATACTGTACTTTGTTAGAGAAATGAGAGTGCAACCAGTTAACAGTCCGGGAAGGAGTCAGTTGGTGTCATGGAAAGCTTATCCAACAAAAGACATCTGGGAACAGAGTCAAAAATGGAGTTGTAGTTGAGGAAAGAACATCGAACATATATATATATATGTAGATGTAGGCATAAACGAGATCTACAAACACTAGTAAGTTCTCATGAAGACTGTTGCATTGAGGGGACTAAAATTGAAATTAAGTCTAATGCTAAATACCTCGGTCTAGTTCTATCTTCCGACCTTACTTGGACATCTCATATCCTAAGGATTTCTAAGAAAGTGTTCTGTCTTACCTACTACATTAAGAAACTTAGACAATCTGGAATCACCCAACCTCTACTTTCACAATTTGTCAACTCTTGTATCTTACCTATTCTACTTTACTGCTCTCCGTTAGTCTTTCCTGGTCTACTGAAAAAGGACTATGCCATCCTGAGAAGGATGTTGAAGGTAGTCAGTAGGACTAGTGGTGTAAAACTCAGTTAGCTCGTCACTACTTTAGTTGATAGGCATCTGAATACTCTCCGACCCCCAACACCCCCTCTATTCCCAACTCTCGCCTTGTATCTCATCAAGTAAAACCAGAAATCAGTATAAAATAATACATGCTCGTACAACCAAGTACAGGAACTCAACGATACCATACTTGGCCCGTGTTCTAAGCGACAGAGACAATGTTAAGCGTGAAACTTATGACTTGCTCTGTAATTAGAACATAATTTTAGGCTCTTTTATTTCTCTCTTATTTTGTATTCTTTAGTGAACTCCTTCTCAAACATACTTAGCTACCTAAAATATTAACATCGGCTTCCTTTTTTGTACTTTACTATATTCCTTCTATTGTGTATCCACTGGTTCCGACTCTATCAGCACTATGAGTATTACAAAATGGTCCTGTCACTAACCATCATGTAATTATTAGTTTTGTGGCTATTTTTTCTTATTTTCCATACTTCTCGGCATTATTAAACTGACAATCATTGGTTGTGAACGCCGCATCTCTTTTCCTCACTTGCCGAACATTTTCAATCCCTGTACCTACGATTAAAGGACGAAATTCTGTGGACTCTACTTCAAACTGTATCTAAAAGTTCACCTGCAGCTGCGGTGACACCTATATAGGTAGAACCAACAGAATGTTCCAATGTCGTCGGAAAGAACATGTTCCAAAATGGCTACTAAATCACATAGAAAATCCCAATGCCAGTAATCTGAATAGAAATCCAGCATCATCCATTGCAAAACACTTATTAATGTCAGGTCACAAAATAAATATTAATGACTGTTTTACAATTATTTAAGAACACAATATTCAGCGAAGAGACTCTTTTCAACGAATTTATTATCAAGCTGTACAATCGTATATATATGTACAATCCCTACTTCTGCCTTGGCCGTAGAGGGATAGACATTTATTTATTTTGTTTATTTAGTTATTCCATGTACTCTTCCCTTATTACTATTATTATTATTATTAATATTATTATCATTATTATTATTACTATTCTCACTCTGAATCTTGTTCACTTGACCTACTTGATATTTTAAACCTAAAATTATTAATTTTCATATTTTTATAAATTTTTTTACAATATTGAATTCTGTCTTATCAAATTTCATACCATGTTATGTAACATTTTATATTCGTCTACTAATCTTATAATTATGTACCCTTTTCCAAAATCGATACACCTTATGTATTATTCTATATACGACATTAATTATTGTGCCACTTGACCTTAAACTATGATTATAATCACAAATATTTTAATTGCATTTCATACTATTTTTATTTCATGTATTCACACCTTTGATCTAATTCCCTCACCGGATATAATTTCTTAAAAACCATATATATACGATTGTACAGCTTGATAATAAATTCGTTGAAAAGAGTCTCTTCGCTGAATATATATATATATATAACTCCTTTGTCTAAGCAGGGAACAATATTATGATGTAGGACAGTAGCGGGATCCAAAGTACATATACTCCGTCTTTATATGAGAACTATTTAGGGTCAATTTGTATTCTGCTCCCCACAAAATGGTAACATTCTAACATTTAAATGTGCCTTATTCGCATAACATACAAGTTATGTAATACGTATTACAACACAGAACAGTAAATAAAAAAACATTTGAAAACCTTTTTTGCCCTACTAAACTACATGACTTTCTGATGGATTTTTATTGATCTTCAAAGTCATAAGAACAACAACAAAATAATTCAGTTAAAGACAGGTATTTTATCACATGATGAGATTTCCCTATTGGAAAATCAGTAAGATTTGTGTGTGCAAGTGTGTGTGTACGTAAGTCATTTCACGGTAATTTACATCCCAAGAATGAATACTGTTTTTTTAGGGGAACATTTGATTGGTGCATTCAGTGTGCCATTTTGTTTTTTCACTAGTTTTCCCAACTTTAGGTCTTTTGTTTACCGTGTATATGCACCTATGGCATGTGTTTGAGAGTGAAAGCGCACGCCCATACAGTTCCAGTGGGTGTGCGTGTAGGAAACTAGATTCCACACACACACAACACATAACAATCAATAAGATTGTGCCTATTCAGAAGGCGTATAACAATTTTCCTCACAGAAAAAGATTATATCCAATAATATATATATTTGACGATCAATTGAATGTTGAATAAATGTTGACATTTTCTTTTGTTTTATAGAAATGCAATGTAGGCAGGAGTTTCGAAATTTTTATTTTTACTTTTCTTTTATTTCAATAGTCATTCAGTAATTTCGAATTTCTGCTTATTAAAAGGCGAAAAAAAATAAAATGTCGATTTTTAATTACCTTCTAATTTGTCAGTCGAATAATATTTCATACAACAATCTTGTTTCACCATAAAATTGGATATTAAACCTTTCGAACTTCATTTCTAAGCAAATTCAATCCATAAATTATGACGTATGTAGAGAAACGATTGATTTTACGCAATGGACCACCATGGGGATTTCGTTTATATGAAGATTTTATGGAGGGATTAATCGTTGCCAAGGTGAGTGCTGATTATTATTACTCTTTTCTCTTAATTTCTTCTGAGTTCCGTGTCGAACATAGGCCGCTCCTCTTCACCGGGGTAACTAACGCTTAGGTGAGGTTTAGGAGAGGATTAGTGACAGGGAGTCGAACCGTAAGTTACTTGAGGCATGGTTGGCGAACATCCTACCCTTCCGAACCACCAGCGCATGTGTAGTAGTAGTAGTAGTAACAGCAATGGTATTTTTGTCTAAATTATTATGCATAGTTGTTTTTACCTCCTTCTACATGGAAAGGAAACGAGAACATCCACCGCAGAACTCCAGGGGGGCACACTAGTTATATTCATAATTATTGACTAATTGCGAATGCAGAGTATTATAAATCTTATTTGCTTGATTCAGAGTGACTAAGTACAGCTTGTGGGACACTTTCGAATCTATTGAAAAAACCCAAGAGAAATAAGGAGACCAGCGGTGAAACAATGATCGGTATGGATGTCACTTCTGTGTTCGCCAGCTCTCTTTATTAGAGATTACCAAGTTCTTCTGAGACGGCTACTGTGTTCTATTATGAATGTGAAGTTTCACTTTAACAGCGAACTCTATTGTCAAGTGGCGGGCGTAGCAATCGGACGCCACCTCTAGGCCGATTTATTCATGACAAAATCAGACGGCAGTCGCCCTACTGTATATATGGACGATACTTTTATCCCGTATGAGAATAAAATCAATGCCAATGTCTTTCTCAAACCATCCACTATGGTTCATCTCCAAATATAGTGCACATACGAAACAGGGGAAGACAATATTTTATTATTTCCAGATATCCTGCCAAATTGAAGTCTAGATAACAGTATAAAACAGGGTATTTTCTGGAAAAAATCATGCGTTGGCTAATGCTCTGATTTCAGGCCTTTTATTCCACTTGCCTATAAACAGAATCTCATCACTATCTCGATGTTTCATACGAGAAAGTATCTTTGCAACTGACGATCTGGACAGTAATATAATAGAAAATAGAAAACTTATTATACCAGAACAGGTATCCAACAAGAGTTATTAGAGTCTCTCTGATGAAAACAGACAGAAAAATATGCCTACGAACGGTCAAAAGACTTTACCCTTCAAAGGAGACGCATTCAATGAATTACTGGAGTCGAAACACAGAGAAATAATATCTACAACATTTTTTACCCCACAACTAAATGTTTAATATTCCCCACTCGTTGTATAATTCCAATGTAGGTAAAGGATAAGCCATTGATTCTGACCAATTCAATGTGCATTTACAGGCTTAATTGTTCTTGTGAAGACAGTTACATAAGTAGAACTATTCGCCAAGCCCACAGTCACCTCCTTGAGCATTTTCCAACTTGGTTAAGAATAGGAATCGTAAAGTCGAACAGGAGCTTCATACTGGAACAAGATGGATAAAAAAACGGATCCTTTACAATTAATTCTACATAAGGTGCCACCTCTATTCTCGAGGTTTGTACGCCTTCAGTTGCAAAACATAGGTGGGGCAGATTATATAAAAAACATTTCCAAGTCAAACCCTTCAAGGACCCAACCTAGAACAGTTATCTCTACCAAATAAATAAACAAAACTTTTTGTCTGTACTGCTTACTTAATTATCAACATCATACTGCGTCATAGTTCCACATTTCAACCCTATTATTACTTCATTTATTTTAAGTGCTTTTGTATTCCTCTTGTATATACGCATCCATTGAGTTTGAAATCATACTGCGGAGGAGTCCCAAAGTAGGATGAAACAGCTGCCCAGTACTCTCTAGTTTTCAGTGGTTCTTTAACTGATATCATTCCGTGGTCTAGGCGGAAATAAATAGAAACCCTACTTAAACTAATTCTCGAAAATTAACCTGATGCTTGCTAGTGACTGGTTACAGTACGAAGTTGCCTAGAGTCCTGGTGAAAGTCGTGACCAGTGAGGTCCATCTATTTGGGAGTGAGGACGGAGTTCCCGCCGATGATATTGGCTAGTGGTCGCACTAAAATCATGAATTGATAGAAGCTAGAATTCATGGACCATTGAATTGAGTTTGAGTGTCTGAGTGGTATACGAGCTTGCCTTGTAACCGGAAGGTGCTGGGTTCGAAATCCAGTGCGTGTGTGCTGAGGATGAGTCCCGAACTAGGATAAAACAGCTGTCTAGTACTCCCAGCTGGTTTTCAATGTTTCTCTAACCGATATCAATCCGTGGTCTAACCTGACAAAATGTATATGAATGCGTTATAAAATGGTGGTTATATGCATGAGGGGACAATTTAAAATCATTCGTTAACCTCTCCATAAAGAGATTTAAACAATCGGGAATTTAGATCAATTATGATTAAATAATGATACATATGCATTTTTATTTATTAATCAGGACACGCCATGCATCAGCTAACATCACACCTTCACTAAGGTTCAAACTGTTGGCATTCAACCATATTTGTGATGCTTCCGCAGTCAGTTAGTCTTTCTTTATACGAACCAAAACCTTTCTGTAGAATCTTAGTTCTATCAAAGTCGATTTTGTGTCCCGTTTCTATCAAGTGCAGTGCAACCACTGAAATTCATTGGCTACGTATAGTCAAATTATGTAGACCTTATCTTCAATGCACCATTTGCACAGATCTTCCGTGTTATGGTACCTCTCACCATCAAATTTTGTTTCTTTGTGTTCCTTTTGCGTCTCCCATACATCTCCACAATGCTGTATCATTTGCTTCCTCTGACATGAAACGTATCTCCCTGCTATTTGATGTTTTTGTGTCAATGAATGTCTCTTTGTATACTACTGATAAATCTTATCAGTAGCACACGCCATATGATGATATCTACCAATCGAAATTAAATTAATCCGAATCCTTACAAATTCCACGATCTAAATATGAACCTCATCCTATTATACGATTTTATAATTACGCACCAAATTTAATCATGTGTACGTTGTTGCCACAGCGGTCAGGAATTTCACCGACCATGCGCATGGTCTGTGGTTCAATCCACTACCTACTCACACCTGATATCAATGGTCGGCCTGCTAAATTTGAGCGACCGGTATCACATGCTGAAAATTCCATACTGTACCGAAAATAAGTTGTGGAATCAAAGTACAATTAAAATAAAATATAAAATAAATCACCGTCACACGATAGGTTACATTAAGCATAGTAGTGACAAAGTTGCTGACCTTATTATTCATATTTATGTATTCCTGTTCATACTATCTGTACTGAAATTAGTTACTAGTCATGATAATATCGAAGTCTTTACTCAAGTAGCCTATATATCAAAATGAAGCTGATCAAAGAAGTGCAGATTTATCAAAGAGGAGTTCTTCCATGCTGGTACTCTCTGAGGTGTTACGTAATATCTCCTCCACTTTTTAGGCGTTGAACTTGAATTGTGGTCTATTCCCAGCTGCTTTGAAGGTCTACAATTCAAAGTAGAAGGTCCTTTGCACTAGGTAATGATCTGAGTTCACATCTCCTAATCTTCTCGATTTTGTATCCGAGTAGGCTGTGCATTTACTTTCTTGAGATTGAGATGAGGTCTGTCTGATTTTTGGTGTCCGTGTGGTGAAAGCCACGCTACCTTACGTACATTCTTGTGCTCACACATGTGGCCTCGAGTCAACCACTGAGTTGTTGAAGGCCCAGAAGACTATGAAGAGTTCTTCGTCCTCATTCATTTCTCCAACCTACTCCTGACCTATGATGAGTTCTCTTCCGGTATTGTCTGATCCCAGTTTGGCTTGTATTCAGATCACCTAACAGGATTTGTATCATGCGATCCACTCCATGTCTCGTTCATTACCGTTTTCAGTTGTCTATATAACTCTTCCTTTTCCTCCTGACATCATAACATCCACTCCCTCCATTCCCTGGTGGTTTTCGTCTGTGTAACCGAAGTGGGTTATTGACACTTCAGTCACCTATTTGAGGAGTCCACTTCACTTCCGTCTGCTCCTACTAAGAACTTCTACGTCGTCTCTTCTCATATCTTTGCATTCTAAGCAGCCTTCTCTACCACATTCGAACACTGTATGAATATTCCATGTTCCCATATTTATTTTTACTTTCATTAAATGAAGTATGTCCACTGACTGGCTTCCAGAGGGCCTTCACTAGGTTGTGCCATTTTGTCTTTCTGAATAAGGCGAATAACAGACTTATTTTTAATACATTTTTTCTGTAGTATTTGGGTTTTTTCTCCGGAGTAGGGTCGCCAGCTCTATGCTCAACCTTCCCTCTTATCGCCGGGGTAATACAAGCTAGTAAACTAGTAAACTATGGAGGGGATGAGAATTTCTGGGCTCCCATGGAGACAATTACTGGCGACTTCAGAAGACAAGATAACATGGAGATAAGCTATTGAAGCCTTTTTCTCCACCTGGAACCTAAGGTACCAACAATAATAATAGCGATGTTAAAATTGATTCCGACGGGAAATCATAAATGTGAATAAATGATTTCAAATTCCACCTGTTGTACAAGAGGTGATGCTTACAACTCAGTAGCTCATTAGATTAAACTTTGGAGTTTGAAGCGAGGAGTGTTTGGACAAAGTTCCATTAGCATTCCACCACTGGTAACCATCAAGGTCGTGATTTTAAGCTACTGATGGGCATAAAATCCGATTATTTAATCGATGATTCACTATGAATCAGTCGGATAGTGCCTTGAATGACTAATCTTCAGATTTAATTTAAAATGATATTTTCTCTGACGCTTTTACCCTTAAATATACGCATAAGTAGTTAAAGTCGTAATGTGCTATTACAGTTGTACTTGTGTATTATGATAATACAAAGAAACAGACTTGATAACAAATTTATCAGAGTTTATTGTAATTGGTTATTTATACGAACAGTGAATATTATTCACTAATGGCTGTCTTACTTTCTCTTTTTCATAGACTGTGATGTTGTTTTGTTTAAATGATTTTGGTGATTCATCCGTGTTAATCACATTATTCTTAAAGTCTATTTATGGTCTGTAGACA